ACTACCACTATATATATATATATATATATATATATATATGGCAATGATCTAACGCGACAATTTTATCATAGTATGATGCAACCACACTTCTAGAAAACTATGTTTGTGGTATTTGTATGACCCAAACTTTTGCACACACACTCTCTTCATCTCAATAATCAATATCTAAAAACAAAAAATCATTTTGAACTCTATAAATGGTCAAAATGAGTTGACCTCCAACAACGAATCAAGACCATTCATTTGGTGAATTTCTAGATCTTAGCCTTTACAAACTCAAAATCATTTTTTTATACTTTTAACATTGTTCATCTAATGATAATAAAGCCATCTAAAAAAATTAGAAGAGAAAAAATCCTTTTAAGGCCTAGATCTAAGCATCTTATTAAAATGAACGGCCTATGTTAATTGGGCTAAAAAAATACTTTCTAGGTTGCATTTTTTAAAATAAAAAAAAATTTGTGATTGTTCATTAGAATGAAAAGAGTGTATAATTTAAAATTTGGATCAAACAAATATCCCTATTATAGTTTTTAAAGATTGTTGTATTATATTACTATGCAACCGTTGTTTGGCCTGGCCTTGCCCTTTTTTAAAAAATCACTAAATTATTTGTATTTTTTCTTAGATAGGGCTAGGCCTTGTACAAACCTAGGGGTGACAATGGACCTGGACCCGACCCAAGTACATGTATGGGCCCAAAAATTAGACCCGATGGGTTGGGTCCGAGTTCAATTGGATCATGTCGAGTCTGGGTTCTGTAATATTTTTTTAGGTCTTAATTTATGAAATATAATTAAATATAGGTCTCAATATAAAAATATATAGTTAAGGGAATTCAATGGGGAAGACTGGCCCTATAATTAAATACATAGCTATTTTCTTTTTGGATCTAGTCCAACCGTGTTCGGTCCGGGTCCATAATATTTTTTTTGGGTTTGGACCCTACCCGAGTTGCCACCCTTATTCGGGCCTTACAAGGCTTGGATCGGTCTTTTTTTTTTTTTTTTGAGTAATTCAATGGGGAAGACTGGCCCTATCTGTTTTTTCTAATAGTTTAGGAGTTAGTTTTATTGGTGAAAACCACAACGTGATGACTAGGTGGGGGTGTGAGCCAATCCCCTTTTTTTAATATCCCAGCACTAACTTCCCAGATAAATGAGTTAATATATTTTGCAACCTCCAATGATCGTTAACCTAATAATTACATGTTAGGGTTTCTAAATGGAATGTTGAATTGCGAGATCACATACCATGGTTTTGTCTTAAAGTTCACGTAACCCAAGTGACAAAGAAGTATTTCATAAGCCACGCCCCTATGTCCACTACTGAACCGAAGCCCAAAGCATACAAAAAGCTAAAGCTAACGCCTAGAGGCCGACCATCGTTTGTGTCTGCCCATAAGCAGACTAGTGTTCGAAAAAATCGAACCAGCCTTGGAAACTGGCCAAGGAAGGGTCCGCGTAGTTTGTAAACCGGTCGGTTCAGATCCCGGCCGGTTCAAAAAGCATTAGAAAAAGTAAAAAAATAATTAAAAAAGGAATATCTAGAGCATGACTAAATAAAACACGTCTAAATGAAGTTGAAAAGTAGTAAAAAGTTGACTTTAAAAGATTGATTTGTGCTCAAGGTATTTTTGAAATTTTCTAAAAATAATCAGAAAATATAAGAATAAGTATTTATGGCCAAAACACTTTCTGATCTTTGTTAAAATGATTAAAAAGAAAAAAAAAACAAAAAATTTCAAAAACACATTACAAACAAATCTCTTATTTTTTGAGATTATATATATATATATATATATATATTATTTATTTTTATTTTTATTTATTTTTTAATGCCCAGCTCGACCACCAAAACCAGATCGGCCGGTATCCGGTTCCGGTTTGACCAGCTGGGTCCAAGATGCACCGACCGAGTTTTCGAGCACTAAGGCGGGCCAATTATTTTCCCTTTATCATATGTAATAAATGGAAAACTCCATTAATATAAGGAGACTAGGACATGCATTTGAGCATTTATTTCAAAAAATGATGGATTGGAAGAGATGGAGGTAATGGACACTCAAAACACAAGCACAAATCCAAGAGATGGACACCACACCAGTAGATAGTGAATCTAAAAATTTAATCACACGATAAAAATAAAGAAGAAGCTCTCTTCATGTTATACTTTGGTTTAGGAGGAGGAATGCCAAATGCTTGAAGCTACCTTGGTTTTGCCTTTCCTTCCAAGAATTCTTTGAGAGGGAGAGAGGCCTCACTGTAGGGTCCTTGCCCTCCCACATTGCTACGGCTGCTTGCTTGTGTATATCTTCTGTGTAATGGTATGAGTCGAACCACATGTGTTCTGTAGAGTCCGGGCAAAGCTCGTAATGAGTGACCCCTTTCTTACCTCCGCACGTGTTTAACCCTCAGAGTGGCCCGGTTCCGCAACAAGCCTGGTGGCCATGAACAAATCCTGTTTTTTAAAAAAATGTTTTTATGTCATTTTAACCTCCTTTGTGTTTGTGTGCGAGTGTACACACGTGAGGATGCCAAAAAGCCGAGCCAGGCTTGGCACAAATTTGGTTGGGCCTAGGCCCAAAGATCACATTGTGGCCTAGGCCCAGTCGAGATAAGTGAGACAGTGTGTATGGAAATTGATTATACGACCTAACCAACTCATGGTATAGTAGTACAGACTGCATAGCCAGAATTAGAGAAGAAAGAGATGTGCAGCCCAGATTTGTGCATTAATAAAAGGAAAAGTATATAAAGAGATCTTTTATTGTTTAGCACGATGAGGTCAAATCATTCTTATCTTATAAATTTCAAATTAAGCAGTTGTGCTCATATCATTGACTAAAATAAAAGTTAGGAAAAAAAAAAAAAAAACAAAAAATGCAACCATTTTGACATAACTCAAGCCATCCAATTTGACATAATGGCTATAAATAGTTGTAATATCCTTGGAAGAGCTATAAAGTCTCTTAGTATCCAATCCCTAAACAAAAATTAGGATGTTGAAATTAGGGTCTAATGGTCCCCAATCATGTGTGTATGCAAGCCTCAAGTAGGAGCTCGAAACCAGTGTTTGTAAACTCGACTGGTCCAATTTAGAACCAGCAAGTCAAACTGGAATCAGGAACTGGCCGATCCAGTCTTAGTGGTCCGGCTGGGTATTTAAAATTTTTTTAAAATATATATATAATCTCAAAAAATAAGAGTTTGTTTGTAATGTATTTTTTAATATTTTTTATCATTTTGGGAAAGATTGGAAACCGTTTTGGCCTTGAATACTTATTTTTATATTTTTCAGTCTTTTTTAGAAATTTTGAAAATACCCTTGGGCATAAATCAATTTTTTAAAATCTATTTATTTCACTATTTTTCAACTTCTTTTTGATGTGTTTTGTTTAATCAATCTTTGAATATGCTTTTCATATTTTTTTTGTATTTTTTTTTTTTTTAACACTTTTTTGACCGGTCATGACCTACCCAATTAAGACAATTTACTAGTTACTCGAACCCAACCCCTGGCCAATTTTCGAGGGCACATCGATTTTTGGCCAATTTTCGAGGGCACATCGATTTTTCAAACACTGCTAAAAACAAATAAATAAAAAATAGAATTTATATGAAAAATAGGGTAAAATGAGTCCACCATTCTAAGAATCATGTTTATGTGTGTACGTGTATGGCCATGGCTGGCACGAACCTAACGTATATGGCCATTGGCAACCTTACATACACGTATTCGCACGTGTTTGTTCTACTGCTGCCGTTGGAAGAAAACACCAAATTAAAGGGAATAGTCCATATGGCAATCATCTATTGGCCAATGACCTTGTACTACTTATATTTACTAATTACTGGACTGCATCTCTACATTTACGGTCCTTGATATTACGGTCCTTGATGTATAAAGCATCCATCTGCAAGATGGATACAAATAGGTGGTTTATTTAAAAATAATTAAAATTAATGGTTCATATTTTTTTTAATAAAATTATTATTTTTTTATATTCACGATTTCCATGTTAGAGATTACGTATCATTAAAAATTAAATCCAAAAATCTATCTCCAAAATATATTTTTAAGAAGTGACTTGTCGATAAATAAAAACCGTGTCCAAGAAGAAAACCACTTTTAACTTTTAACACCATTTGGTGTTTACCAAAAAGAAAAGTTTAAATAAGGCTTACGCTGTAAAAAAAAAAAAGCAAATCTCTGTCTCAAATTTTACCGAAAGTTGCAGTTTCGGCATCAAAAAAAACCTTTAAATAAATTATCTCGAAATTGATAATTATGGATGCAAAAACAAACAATAATAATAACTTCAATCCCTAAAAATAGTGTATAGTGCAATAAATTATCTGAACCTTATGTTTTCAAATGTTCATGGCTCCGCAAAATCTGTATTATTTTTTGAGCACCCAAGATCAGTTTTAGGACCCCAAATGTTGGGGATATAACATCTTTGACTAATAAATTATCCTCAATAATAATAAAAATCCTACTTGCACCCTCTAATCACTTGAAAAAAAAAAAACTAATGCCTCAAGATTGAATAGAAACCGTCTAATTGTTAGAGTGTGAGATCAAAGTGTTAGAAAACTCTTCTTTTTTTTTTGGGAGAATAATCATATACTGATTCTAAGGTGGTTACCAAAGAATTTTATTGAAAAAATCTTCTCAAGTAGGTCATTTGACCTCGGGAGTAGAAGTAAATTACGTTCCTGATGGAGCACAATATACATACTCAATAGATTTTAGAGCCATCATAAGGATTTCATATACCCTAAGTATTTACAGGATGGGCCCAAAGTGTTTATCGGATGAGTTTTGAGGAGAAACTTTACTTTTAAGGCTAAATTATTTCTTTTCCTTTAATCCATAAATCTCAAGGTCCTGATGATCAGTTTCATGATCTTTTTAGCATTTTTCGTTGGAATCTAAGCTGCCACCTCAAATAGATGTTAACCATTTCCAACATAAAACACAGGTAAATATGGGACGGTGTATTATGAGAGTATCTATATTTATTATAAAAAAGTCACAATTGCTACTAACCATTAGATGTTAAATTGGATGGTTTAGAATGTATTACAAAGTTCAAAAAAAAAAAATTTTAACTCTGAGTTCAATCAATAATACACTCACAACCACCTGATTGAAATCTAAATGGCAAGAGTGATTGTGACCTTTATATATTAAAAGTAAATTACCTCTTTGTATACTTTTCTTTTAGATAAATGTGTGTGCCTTTACCATATTTTCGGGGTTCCTCGGCCCTAACCCTCAAAAACTGGAATTGGTCAAAGAAGATATATTTGAAGTCCTCTAATTTGGAGGGCAGGGTGATTGAGAGCTCCTCCACAGCCACGTTGTGAGATGAGCTACGCTGAGTTGCAGTTTCTAAGCAATCGCCATTGCGAAATACTCGCATATCAAGGGTGCACCCTAAGTTTTTCAGTCCCACCAATACAAATTTTCTTACACAATGCTCATACAGTTTCTACCAAAAAAAAAAGAAAAAAAAGAAAAAAAGACACATAGAGAGAGAGACTGTGTTAATGGACACTTAAAGAGAGAGAGAGAGAGAGAGTACAGTATGTGAAGTTTTTATGAACAGGGGATTCATCCCCTGTCCAACATAGGTCCAAAAAGCCCTGAAAGAGTATAAAAAAGAAAAAATTAAAAATCAATTCAAACCTAAAACACCTTTTTAAAATTAAAACAAGTTTAAAAATTAGAGAAAACTTGGATTTAGAGAAACCCAATTTACGGTTTGAGTTATTTTTCAAAAGCAGTTATGTTTCCTATGTTAATTGAGGCATGTATGGACCATAGAGAGTCATCGAGTATTTCCTCAGTTGTTAGAATTTTCTAATGGAAAATTGTCTCATGTAGGCTAGACCGCATGACAACATATGCGGTCCAAAAAGTGTAAAGCATCCATCTTAAAGATGGATACAAGTAGGTGTTTCCTCTAAAAACAATAGAAACTAACGGTCCAAATGTTCTTTTACTAGAATTATTATTTTTAGTTTTTAAATTTTACTTATTGTTTTCACATTCATGATCTTCACATTAGACATTATATGTCCTTAAATATTAAATCCAAAAATCCATTTAAAAAATAGATTTCTTAATAGACCCGCATTTCTACATACTTGGCCACATAGAAACCGCGTCTTTTTCTAATGGCCACAGTTTAATAGCCATGTAAGAATGGAGAACAATATCATTTTACTTGACTTGGCAAAAAGGCTGTAAAATTATGATTTGTATTTATTACCTTTATTAATGAAAAACCAAGGTAGGGGATCTTTTCCCGCATTGATTTACCCCAAAAAAAATCTCTTTTCTCTTTTATTTTTTTAAGGGATTGTCTACAAATAGATTATTTAAAGTTTTAATTTTCTAACACTTAGATCTCACCCTTTAAATATAGGTAGATCTAGTTGCAATCTTGAGATATTATTTTTTTCAAGTTTATAGAGAATGCATTATGGACTTCTTTTCTTTTTTTATATAAATTTAAGTTAGCCCATGGGGTGAAGAGTTTCCATCCTCAAAAATTAGGGTCTCAAATTGCTCATAGATTGGGTTTTACCCGAGTGAGTAAATAGATATCATACATATACAGGAGCATGAATCTTTTGGCAAAAAGAACGGGAAAAATTAAATATCTAGACCATTTACTTCTTGTACAAGAAGATCACAAATTAATATGAAATTGGACAACTAGGGGTATACCATTAGAAGCACTCCAATCCCAAAAAAACAGTTCCTTCGGACTTTGAGGCAGATAAATGACACACCCTAACCATCCACCTCTACATCTGATAGATTGAGGTGTCTGTGGCATTCGTTTGTGTATGATAATGGTCGAATTCCATACAATCCCAAAAATACAAGTTAAAAATAAAAAGAAAAGTTTATATAAGGGCGACGCCCTAAACAACCAAATTAAGGCGCGCCTTAAAAATTCACTAGAAGAGGTTATTTCAATGCCCAAAATTCTTCAAATCGATCATCCCGATCTCAACATGTATGAACATGAGAAAAAAGACATATTAAAAAGGCATATTTATGTACTATTTGAAGGTACGCCTTATTTTGACTGTTTAGGGCTTCAACCTTATACAAACCCCACCAAAAAAAAAACCAAGAGTTGCTTGAATTTGTCGTAATAAAAAAAGTTAAAATTAAAAATAAAATTAGCAATACTTACTTGAATTTGTCTTGATAAATTTCCCATTACAATTTGGACAATTTCATCCTTGGCATGTAACTCATGTGCATCGTAATGGTCGACATGCACCTCATAATCGTTGAGTCCAACACTAATATGATAAACTGCTTTTGAAAACGCATTCTCAACCTCTAAATCCCCTAACTTTTTCTGAGTTGGATAAGTTGCTCAATTTGCATTCCCATGTCTATGACCTGAAAATTTTGTCAATTTACAATATTTAAAACTATTGTTTTTCATAGTATAATCACCTAATAAATAAAGTAAAATAATTAGAGTATAGCTCTAGATAGAGTAGCATGGCAGACGAGGATTTGTGTAGCCGACCCTAAAAAATTGAGAAAAGATTCTACTGATGATAGTGATGAATCACCTTTAAAATAAATAAATAAAATGAAGTTTGATGATACCTCTCCTCGGTTTGTCTCAGAGAGAACTCCAGCTCCCCCAGAGGCAAAGTTGGCTCCATACGAAAGATCGGCATCCGGTTGCAAGTACGGCGGGATCATTGGAAGATTCACGAATTCAGCTGAAATTTCCATGAAGCTTAATATGAGAGAGAGAGAGAGAGATTTCACAGATAACATAGTATAGAATCTTTATATCTAATTATAAGCGCCTATTTTCATGAATGCCTGCAATCACAAGCGAAGATAATGTTGGGACAGGGATATCAGCACATCCAAACGAGATCTAACTTATGGCGATGGACTATGATTATTCCAACCTGGCCACCGTCGAACAAAGTGCTGGATGGTGGATGTCCTAAGGAGGATGTCATCCTAGGGTCGATGTATATTTTCTTTTAAATATTGAAAGAGCCTACAATCAAATTTGATTTAGTAGTAAAGTTATATTTCAAAATAAATAGGGAAAATTATCAAAATACCTATGTAAGATGAATTATTTAACATTCTACCTATATCATTTGATTCAATTTCAAAGTACCCATAATAAGATACATGATCATGAGGTGGATTAGTATAAAAAATGTAAAATATTAAACAGAAAATGTGCAACACAAGTATAAGAAAAGCATATGTTATGATATCAAAAGAACATTATGTTGACTATTTTGATTTTTATTTTTAAATTTTAGAATTTGACTAGGAAATTTTCCTGACAATTTCCTAAGATAATTTAAACTTTTAAACAATGATTCAATAATTGGAATTGGGCAGTGAATTTCCGGATATCAGATTCTTATTCATCCGGTCTGAGGGAATTCTAGAGTGGGTCTGGGCCACAATTAACAAACAAACTATAAATTAAAATAAAACAAAAAAGGAGATCATTTTACCATGGGGATTTTTAATTCAATGCTTTTCAAAACCTCCCGGTCTTCCAATAAAAAACCTAACCAAAAAAATCAAAAAACAGAAAAAGAAAAAAAATATTGATAAAGACTCTCTCTGTCAACCAAAGTAACAAATGCCAATTTTTTTAAAAAAAAAGAAGAAGAAAAGAAATTGATAAAGACTTTCTCTATCAACCAGAGTAACAAATGGCAATTTTATAATAAAAAAAATCTTTTGAAGACACTACGAGCGAAAACTGCCTTATAAATTCCTTAAGGTGGTTAAATCATCTCATTTAAAATTAGGATTTTTACGATTTATAGTTTTTTCACCGAATTACAGGACTCAAAAGAACAGCGGTAAAAATGAACAAATTGTTCATAGAGAACAAGTAGAGGATTTTAGTAATTTAACCCCACATAGGTTGCAAGAGCAAAATAGTAAAAACGCCCAAGTTGTTCAGGGCTAACAACATAGAATAAGGGCTTGCAATTTATAAAAAAAAAAAGAAAAGGTTGAGTTTTGTATTGCAAACCCCAAATAATTAAACTTATTTTCATTATGCGGTAGTTTAGTATTGCCAACCTAGAATAATCGATGGTGTTTTCATTAAGGGTGTGAGAGAATGTGTGAGAGACTCTAAACAATCAAAGTAAAGTGCATCTTCAAATAGTACCGAGAAATGTGGTTTCAACACTGAAAATCTTTGTGATAGCCTTTAATATATTTTTCTTTTTAATTACAAAATCTAAAGCTTCAAAAATAGTGTGCATCAAGTAGATCTACGAAAACTTGAAATTGACCGTCGAAAAATGCGTTCCAAGATGCATTAATTCCCGAACTTGAACTCCTTTCTTTTCTCATGTCTATGTATTTTGATGTTGAGATAATCAATTTGAGGATATTTGAGCATCAAAACGGCCTCTTCTAATAAAATTTTTGAGGTGGGCTCTAATTTGATTGTTTAAAGCCTCAGCTCTATATAATTTTTTCCTTTTCTTAATTGACCCATAAATTGCTCTAGATTCCCGAATTGCCAAAACGAGATCAAATTATCAATTACAAAAACACCCCTGCTAAACAAGAGAATTTGATTATTTTGAATAAATTTTTAATCAAGGTACCCAACTGGATAAGTACCAATCTTAATCTTAATGGTCAATGGAATGATTTGTCTTTTATAGTTATTTTGTAAAGTTATTTAATCAATTATTCAATATTTTACCAATAAATAATAATTTTATTTTATAAAAATAAAAAGTAGAATTCTCGTACGTTATGTTCTAGAGACAAAGTGATCTCAACTTTGACGTACGGTCCTAAATCATTGCTACACTGACAATAACTCCAAAAGCCAGGTACAATTATTTCCAAAAATAGAAAAAAATCCCACTTTAGATAAGAATAAAGGTCAAAGTTGAGACCATTTTTCCCCTTGAGTACAATCAATGATCGATCTTTCTCGGACAAAGACAATAAGCCAGGTTCAATTATTTCCGACAATAGAAAGAAATTATTTGGTTGGTAAAATATAAAAAAATTTCTGTCCATTTTATCTTTGGCAAGTTTAGATGTTCTTCCAAAACTAGACACTATGTTGGGTCCTCCGCTACTTGATCATCAGGCCAAGATTTTTAACATTGAAACTTGAGTTTTAGAAACTATGTATCTGTCAACCCTGGTTAAGAGCTGTTGAAATACATCCGTCTACATATACGTAGATGATAACGGATGATATATTTAAAAGATATTTGGGAATATCAATTTTTTTTAGTTGTTATTTTGTATTTTCTATTTAATACTCAATAACAATGGGCACAATTGAATAGCCTTTCAACTGTAGATGTAGGTCCGACAGACTGAACCACGTAAAGCTATATTTTCTTCTCTCTTCACACCTCTGCTTCTCAATTTATTTTATCTGGTATCATAACACAAGGTATATACGGGAGCTAAGGCTTGCATTAAGAAAAATATGAATAATGGAGTTGGATGGATATATGGTTTGAGGTGGAAAAATATGGATGCAAATTGTTTGTGAAATTTCCACAATTTTCACAATGGAGTCAAGTGTGAAGAAATCAAGAAATCTATCCAATAAATATCGCCAAGGCAATTATGGTGATTTGTCTATGAAGGTAGAGATTGTTGAGTATAGTGATAGCTAAATCACCATACCCATATTTCTTTTCTAAAGATTAAAGGTATTATGGAAAAATGAAAATGGACTTTCTTGGAAAGCAAAAAAGTGGTATTTATATAAGAGACTCAATAAAGACATAATATCCTATCATGTTGAGGGTCACCCCTTGGAGGTTATGGGAATGGATCTCTAAAGAGGATATGGTCTCCAAGTGAGAGAGACATAGCCTCCAAGAGAGAGGTAATATACCCATGGAGTTTTGGGTTGATTTATTTCCACTTCTAGAAAGAGAAAATATCTCGGTTGCTCTCAATATTATCTTCTGGTAGCGGTATTGCGGTGTTGATCAACGGTGTTGCTCGGTCGAGAGAACAAGTATAGAAAGGAATATCGGTGATGGCATTTACCGATGTTTAGAGATAGGTATTATCTCTTATAACTCAAAAGTGTAATCTTCATTGAGATAGTGAATTTTTACTTGCCGAGGACATAGATGTAGCTTTACGGGATGAATCATGTAAATTGTGTATTGTTGTGGTATAATTTTTTATGTTTGCTTTATTTCTTGCACTCGATTTATAGTTGTAATCATATACTTCGCATTTAGATAATCGTGTACACGATCTTGGGTAGGATCCTGATATTTGAGATTCCAGGTTCCGTAAGCTAGAGGTTCCCGAGAACTCTACAATTAGTATCAATACCTCATGGAGAGATTAGCAAGACAACCTCTACCCAAGATCTCTAAAATATATATGGTTTTGATTCCAGAATCGAAATCATTAAGAGTACTATACCTAGTCAAGAAATAGTTCAAGAATCCATTCTTGAAACACCCCAAGAGTCTAATGAGGAGACTCATTCAAATAAATATCAAGGGGAAATAATTCCTCATGACTTTCAACCAAGACGATTTGATCGTATTAGTCATCCTCCTCCGGGTTTAAAGGATTACTATACATATCATGTCAAGTAAAGCAATCATCAAATTCGTTATCCTATTGAGAAACAAATGGATTTTAAGAAACTCTCTCCCAAATATAGTGTTTTATTTTACCAAAATTTCATCAATTAAAGAACCCACTAGCTTTAAGGAGGCTAATTCAAATGCAGTATGGAGGACTGCAATGACAGAGCAACTTGTTGCTTTACAGAAAAATCATACTTTGGATGTTGTTACTCTTTCGAAAGAGAAAAACCAGTTGGATGCAAGTGGGTCTATAAAATGAAATATAGAAGTGTGAAACTATTGAGAGATACAAGGTGAGACTTGTTGGAAAGGAATTCACTCAAACGTATGGTGTTGACTACAAGAAAACCTTTCCTCCTGTAGTCAAAATGAATGATGTGAGAGTTTTACTTTCTATTGCTGGCAACAATGACTGGCCTTTATATCAATTAGATATAAAAAATGCCTTCTTGCATCGAGATTTTGAAAAAGAAGTTTACATGAAACTTCTTCCTGGTCATCCTCAAGAAGGCAACAAACTCTGGCTTGTATGCTCATGAAAGCAATTTATTAGCTTAAATTGTCTCTCAGGGTATGGTTTACAAAATTAAGTCAAGCTCTTATTGATATAGGGTTTTCTTAAAGTAATGCCAATTCATCCATGTTTGTAAAAAGAAGGTAGTCCGGAAATGTTGTTGTCCTTATCTATGTTGATGACATTGTTATAATAGGAAGTGATTCAAATGCAATACAAATTTGAAAGATTACCTTCATACAAAGTTTGATATTGGAAAAACTCAAATATTTTCTTAGAATTGATGTTGCATACTCTCATAGAGGAATTTTTATTTTCCAAAGGAAATATATTTTAGACCTTTTGCACGAAACACGAAAGATAGGTTGTAAACCCATTGATACTCCAATTGAGACAAATTATAAAGCTGACATAGACTCACACAAAGTTTTGGAAGATATTGGAATGTTTCAACGTTTGGTTGGTCGATATATATATCTCACTGTCACTGGACCTGATATTGCGTATGGTGTCAGTATGGTAAGTCAATTCATGAACTCTCCAAAAACTGTTCATCTTGAAGTTGTCAATCGAATTTTAAGGAACCTTAAGTCATCTCTTGGAAAAGGAATTTTAATGAAAGATAATGGTCATACTTCTATCATTCCCTTTTCTGATGTAGATTGGGTAGGTAGTCCTATATATAGAAGATCCACCACTGGATATTGTACATTTGTAAGGGGTAACCTTGTAGCTTGGAAAAGTAAGAAACAGTTGGTGGTTGCTCGATCAAGTGCAGAGGCCGAATAGAGAGCCATGTCAACTACAACCTGTGAATTAATTTGGATAACTTTTCTTCTCAACGATATGAGTTTAAATATTTTGCGTCCAATGGTTATGAACTGCGGCAACCAAGCTACTATACGTATCGCATCAAATCTGGTATTTCATGAACGGACTAAGTACATAGAAACAGATTGTCATTTTGTGATAGAGAAAGTTCAAGCCAAAGAAATTACTACTCCATTCGTTAGAAGCAAAAATCAACTTGCCAATATCCTTACAAACGCCACAAAAAAAGTACAATTTCAAGAAACATTAAGCAAGTTGGGCTCGATAGATATCAGCGTGCCAACTTGAGGGGGAGTGTTGAAATATATCTGTGTACAGATATGTACAGATAACTACTAAAATATGATACACGGATGATAACAGCTGATATAGTTACCCAAAACCCGTATTTTGGGTAACTAGATATGCAGAATATCATGATGATATATTTAGGAGATATTTGGGGATATCAATTTCTTTTTAGTTATTATCTTGTATTTTTTATTTAATGCTCAATGAATGAAATAATGGGCACAACTGAATAATCCTTCAACCTTAGATGTAGGCCCAAAATACCGAACCACGTAAAATTGTATTTTCTTCTCTCTTCTTGCCTCTTCTTCTCAATTTATTTTACAAGAATTCATAGGGGTTCAACCATGGTTGCACATAATTCTAATTTATTCAGATATTTTAAGGCCTAATGTTATTATTATGATGAAAAAAATTTCGTGATAATGTCGAACATGTAATTTTATTCCAAAACAAGAAGACAAAAATAAACACGTTCATTATAACACTAATATTTTTTATTGACTTGACTTGGTTTATAGTAGGGATAAATTAAAATTTGGAATCCTTGACCTAATCAAAACATAGTGACCAGACACCAACTTCATCAATTTTACTTCTTGAAAATTTAGTGTTATTGTCCAAAACTAGGCCAGGAAGAACGAGAAAACAGCTCTTAACAATGGTTAATAAGTAATTGAAGCACAAAAACCACTGAGATGACACGTTATCAAAGTTTAACACAGATATTAACAGTTGGCTCAAAAAAAATATCAAAAAGAAGGAAATTTCCAAAAAAAAAAATAATCCTTTTTTTAAAAAAAGAACTCACCAAAAATTATAGAAAATCACAAAAACAAGGGAGATAAATGAAAAGAAAAGCTAGGTTAGCATGTAAGAGCTTTTTCGAGAACAAATTTTATTGGTTCGAAGTTCTAACCCCTTGACCTCCCTCACCCAAACTGATATGTCTACTGCAAAGTCGAGCTCAAGAGAAAAGGAAAAGGAAAAATACCTATGAAATCCGGAGTAACCTTGCCATCGGAAAACCGGCCAGTCGCCTCTCCAGAGAACACGTTCCGGCCATAAGGATAGTAATTAGCCCTGTGCTCCTTTGATGTATTTAAGTAATTTTTGGTGCCACAATCCACAAGAGAGTCCCCAAACACCAGAAGCAACACCTTCTCCCCATTAGCAAGAGCCCCTGCTAAGAGCACCAAACCATAGAGCAAGACTTCACAAATGCATATAAAAGTCTTTCCCATTTGGGAGGAAAAAATAAAGAATAATTGAATAAACAATTGAGCCCTTATCGGTTATCAAAGAAGAGCAAGAAAAAGGTCCGCTCACTTCGATAAAGGGCCTCAAGTTGAGACTCTATGTACAGTATAGATCACTATATATAGACTCTATAGTCGCCTGTGTAAATAGGAAAAAGTTTATTTATCCAGGCCCTAAACAATCAAAGTAAGGCGCACATCAAAAATTCCCGACAATTTTTTTTTATGCCTAAACTCCTCGAATCCGGTCATTTTTGTTTTGGATATGTGAACAAAAAAAACAAAGACTTCAAGAATGTTATATGGGTGTGGTTTGTATTAGGCTAAGACACCTTCAAATAGTATCGAAAGATGTTGTCTTAGTACTAGAAATCTTTGTAATGGCATGAAAATTTATTTTCATTTATAATTATAAATTTTAAAGCTTCAAAAATAGTCTAGATCAAGCAATTTATGTACACTTAAAAATTTGATGGTCCACAAAATGCATTATAAAATGCACTATTTTCAAGATTTGAAATCTATTTTTTCTCATGTACATACATCTTGAGGTGGTCGAGATTATCGATTTGAGGACTTTTGGGCATCAAAACAACCTCTTCAAGTGAAATCTTGAGGTGCGTATTGATTTGATTGTTCAGGGCCTCACCCTTCTATAAACTTTTTCCATGTTAAATATGTTGTGCACGGAAGCTCTAAACCCAATGGGTTGATTTTTGGCAAATAAAGTACGATAAAAATAATCGACAAAAAACAAGCAACAAGCAACAAAAATAAAGCAGGAAATAAACGACAAAAAAATAATAATAGGATTTACGTGGTTCGTCACAATTGTGACTACATCCATAGGCGAAGACGATTGATATTTTTAACTAAATCAAAGAAAGAAAATTACAAGACAACTTACTTGAGAACCGAAGACTCAATCTCCCACAAAGCCTTCTTCTCTACAATTTTCTCTCTTTCCAAAAACCCCAAAAAGTTTTCTTCTATTTTTCTCTATGCACTTTCTCTCTCTATAAGAGAGGACAAACCCAAAAGTGCACCTATGTATGGGCTACTTTTTCACACATGCTTTATCTCTTTAGAAAAGCATCTTTGTATAGAGAGAATAAAGTCCCGAAAACATGTACGACGTCAAACCAATCTCAACTTTCCTTACTTTATCAATAAGAAACTTTATTCCTATCCATGTGGACCTAAGGCTCTATCCTAATCCAATTAGGACTTATCCATAAACTGAGATCCTAAATAATATGCTCTACCCAAATAAATAAGAAACTTAAATTAGAGGAAACCAATCCTCTAAAATTAAAGATTTCAGAATTCAAGATAAATATCAACAAATCTCCTCCACCTTAGCGTGAATTCCAAAAGAAATTCTCATCGATTGTCTTTTCCACACACGCCTCCACAGGCGCTTTCTTGGGCAACACATTAGGCAAGTCCAAGCATAGCTTGAAGTTCTGTAATTGAACCGACTTTATCAACATATCTACAACATTCTTCTTAGTGTCAATCTTCAGTGACAAGATATCACCTTCAGCTATGATCTTACGAATAAAATAGTATCTGACATCAATATGCTTCATGCTTGCATGATATACCTGATTCTTCGCCAAATGTATTGCACTCTGACTGTCACAATAAATGACAATTCCATCATGGCGTAAGCTCAAATCGCTTACAAGCCCTCTAAACCTCAGTAACAGTCATGCTTCAGTCGTAGACAAAGCAACAATGGCTTGTACCAGACCTCCAAGTGATTGCAGCTCCTGCAAATATAAACACATAACCTGTAATACATCTCATACAGTCTAAATCACCTGCAAAGTCAGCATCAACATAATCAACAACCTTGTCACCAAACTTTCTATCTCTATCAAACATCAGACCCACATCTGATGTACCCTTTAGGTAACACAGAATTCATTTTACCGCATGCCAATATTGTTTTTTTGGATTCGTCATATACTTGCTAACAACACTAACGGCATGAGAAATATTTGGACTAGAGTAAACCATTGCATAAATAAGACTTCCAACTGCACTCGCATAGGGAACACACGACATGTATCCCTTTTCAGCATCTGAACTTGGAGATAATGTTGCCGAAAATCTGAAATGTGCAGAAAGAGGAGTATCCACTGGTTTTGAATTTTTCATCCTGAATCTAGTGAGGACCTTCTCAATGTACTCCTTCTGAGATAGCCATAATTTACCCAACTTTCGATCTCTATGAATCTCCATACCTAAAAATTTTTTTGCTGAACCTAAATCTTTTATTTCAACTTATCTGGCAAGCTAAGTCTTCAATTTACTGATTTCTAAAGAATTATTTGCAGCAATAATCATATCATCCACATAAAGCAATAAATAGATGAATGAACGATCGGTAAATCTCTTAAAATAAACACAATTGCCATACTTACTTCTGACATACCCATGTCCAATTATGAATGTATCAAAACGTTTGTACCAATGCCTAGGAGACTGTTTTTGGGCGAACAACGACTTCTTTAATTTGCAGACGTAGTCATCTTTACTTTTAACAACAAAACCTTCTGGCTGAGTCATATAAATATGTTTTTCTAACTCTCCATGAACGAATGCAGTCTTGACATCAAACTGCTCTAACTCCAAATCAAACAATGCAACCGTGGCTAGTAAAACCCGAATAGAAGTGTGTTTCACCACTGGAGATAAAATCTCATTATAATCAACATCTACTTTCTGCGCATAACCTTTTGCAACCAAACGTGCCTTAAATCGATCACCACCAGTCTCAAGTGACCCATCTTTCTTCTTATAAACCCATTTACAACCAATGGCTCTCTTGCCTTTAGGCAACTTCACGAGATCCCAAGTGCGATTCTTCTGTAAAGATTTCATTTCTTCATCCATGGCTTCACTCCACTTGCTACTATCACTATCCTGTGTAGCTTCCATAAAAGTGGATGGCTCTTAGCTTGTGGCAGCCAATGCATAAGCCACCATGTCCTCAAAATCGTACTGCACGACTAGCTTTTTTATTCTATTTTTCTTTTCAAACTGAGGCTCTTCCTCAAGTGGAGTAGACTCAATGACTTCCTCATGGTCAACATCTTCCTCCATTATCTCACAGGAAATATCTAACACATAATTTGAAGTATTTTCTGGAGTTGTCAACTCCACCTCAACTGCATCACTAATGCTGCAATTTTTCTTTTCTACAGCATTCTGAATGTGTTTTAAATAGCAGATTCATCGAATTTAACATCACAACTAACAATAAATTTAAGCGACTTAAAATCTAGGCACTACATTCTATAGCCTGAACCTCATTCTCATAACCAAGGTAAACATACTTCTTTGACATTGGACTTAACTTATGATTCTTCACATGAACATAAGTAAGATAACCAAAAATTTTTAAATAAGAATAAGCAGTAGGTTTACCGAACCATACCTCTTCTAGTGTTTTGTAATCTATTATTGTAGATAGTGAATTGTTGACGAGGTAACACGCCGTATTGACTGTTTTAGCCCAAAAGTCCTTCGACAAACCAGCATCACTCAACATGTTGCGAGTCTTCTCTAGAAGTGTCATGTTCATGTGTTCAGCAACTCTATTTTGTTGCGGCGTCCTCAGAGTGGTGAAGCGAAGAACATTTCCTTCACTCTTGCAAAATTTCACAAACTCCACTGAATTGTACTCTCCACTATTATCAGTCATCAAGCACTTGACTTTCTTTCCAGTTTGTCTTTCGACCTTTGTTTTCTACTGCTTGAATGTATTAAATACATATGTCTTTTTCTTCAATGTGTAAATTCATACCTTCTTAAAGAAATCATCTATAAATGCAACAAAGTATAGAGATCCACCTTTTGAGACAACCGATGCAGGGCCCCAAACATCTGAATGAATATAGTCAAGAATACCTTTTGTGGTATATTCTAACGTACAAAACTGCACCTTACACTGCTTACTATAAACACAGTGCTCACAAAATTCCAACTTGTACTTCTTCAAGTCATTGATCAATTTGTGTTTGCTAAGTTCCGAAAAACCTCTCTCACCAATGTAGCCTAATTGCATATGTCACAACTAAGTCAAGTCAGAATCGTCATCATCAAATACGAAAAGTGCTGCTCTATCTGTGATAGTATCACCAAGTAGCACATATAAGTTTGGTATGATCTTCTTGCCTTTCATCACAACTAGAGCACCTTTAACAATCTTCAGAACTCCACCTTCTCCAATAAAATTGCAGCCATTGGAGTTTAAGGTACCCAAAGAAATAATATTTTTCCTCAAATCTGGAACGTGTCTAACAATGGTCAAGGTTCTAACAACTCCATCATACATTTTGAGAGCAATTGTCCTAACACCAATGGTCTTGCAAGCTGCATCCTTTCCCATCAAAACTAATCCGCCATCAATGTTTTTATATATGGTGAACCAATCCCGATGATGTCATATATGATAGGAACATCCTTAATCAAGAACCCACGAATCTTTAGAGTTTTCACAATTTGTTGAGACCGACAATACACTATTTGTTTCACTTACCGAGCTTCTATCAACTATATTGGTTACTTCAGAACCTCATCTTTTTTTCTCTTTGAGTTTTTAACAATCATTCTTAACATGCCCATATTTCTTGCGGTAATTGCAATAAATATTACTCTTTCATGTTTCTTTCCACTTCTCTCAACAGATCTCCCTCTAACCACTAAACCATCTGCATGTGGCTGAGCATTATCCTGTCTCTTTCTCAAATCGTTAGAAAGAAGAGTCGAAGTCACATTCTCCATCTCTATGTTATCTTTTCTATAAAGCAATGTTGTGACTAGATGCTCATACGAATGAGGGAGTAAGAATAATAAAATTATAGCCTTATTTTCACCATCTATTTTAACACTAATATTCAATAATTCACAAATA